CTAATGAAAAAAACAAATGTTTTAAAAGATGCATCAGAAGTTGAGAAAGTCACTTGCTTCTAAGAATGATTTCTTTAAGTCTACGGGCTTGATTTTCCTAATCGCAGCTTTTTAATTTATTTTTATCATGTGTGGAGAACGTGGGACAGGGATCCAGAAACCACACTCGGGGGGCCAGCAGTGACAACAGGGTGCTTCAGCGACTCAGTGTCTGTCATCAGCCAGGGATGCGCGGCACTTCTGTGATGATGTTGGAATTTTGATTATCGACAATCACTTCACCTACCCTAAGGGTACTAGTTTGGGGCCTGTTTTAGGTTGCTTCCTAGAAAACCTATGGGAAGCCCTCCCTCTATGTTATCTCTGTGATATGGCTTAATTTAATCATTATTCCCTAGTTACTTTGAGGTTATTGACAGTCAAAGTTTGGAAAGTGAGATAGTATATGATCACAACAGTTCTTGGAAGCCATGGCAGCTGATTCAATTACGACAGAGTTTACTGACAGGGTATTTATGTTCGCTCGTTGGAGGGACAGTGGGAGATGCTTTCATTTTCACTGGTTACTGCTCTGGGTTAACAGGATCACACATGATGACCACACATCAAAAGGAGCCACTTATGTGCAATGCTTCTACAGACATTTTACATTGTTCCTTAAAGTGTGGCAATGAGAGAATGAAGCCATAGGTTTTATTTTTTAATTCTTTACTTTTCATCACAATTGACCAACATTTATAATGAACCATCATCAAACCACTTCCCTCTGCCATTCTGAAACCAAGGACTGTAATTGTAGAGCCGCACATGTAGGTTGGGACAGTGTACTGGCGCGGACATAATTCTAAAACATGGCTGTTAAATAGGTTCCTGCTCTAAACTCACTGGTTTTCTGAAACAAAAGAGTAAACTTTTATCCAACATATCACAGTGGTTTACAAATGAGAAATATTTAGTAATAAATATTTCCCACCAATATTGCGAGAGGGTGACATTAGGGACAACAGAGTATTCCATTCAGAGCATTCTAATCATTCCAGTGCTGGAGAGAGACAGTGTTCCAGTCATCTAAGATTTTTATTCTTCAGGTATTTCATCTTCTACAATAGTGTGCATTATCCAAAACGTGCTCAAGTACTCATTAGCAAACCCAAATGCCAGTAGGTTAAACAAAATTCCTTCTATAGCAAAAGGGGTTAACTAGATTTGTATTCCTATAGAAGCCAGGCTTTTAATATTCTGCAAATGTTAACAAAGAAAGATGATAATGTTGAGTTAATATGGGTTAAGCATAAAATGAAAATAAATTTTTCTGATTGTGAGGTGTTGACACTTTTTTGGCGAGGGCCGCCAGCCTGTTCCTGAAAGCTGTGTAATTACAGAAGGCTTTTCCCCTCCTTCCCCCTCCTGCTTTGAGCCTACCCACATTAGTAATGACCCCTTCACTGCTTCAAAAACCACTAATGGTCTTCAGCACGGGCAAGAAAAATGAACAGGATAAATTGGAATCCACAGTCAGTAATTTGCATCCTATGAGGCTGCTTTGGCCACTCACACTCATGACTGGCCATCAATCGTTGCCTGTCAGGTGCTGTACTCTGCCACCATGACAAATACTCCTCCTAACACCCTGATTCGTCCAAACAATGTAATTGTCCTCTATGCTCCTTTTGGTAATGGAGATAATGAATGACTGCACAAACAAGTAGGATTGCTCATCACAGACGCTGGGGTGGCTTCAAACTGGAAAAGGCCTAGGGTACAAATTTTAATTGACTGAAAACACAGGTTGGGGCGAAAAGGACACCATCAACAACAAAAAATCCCCAAGTCCTTCTTGTCCTGGTTTTTCCTGCCAAATCCAAGTGAGGAGCACCTTTTGACTTTTTGCCCTTCAAAGATTTTGAAAGCCTAGGTTTATAGGTTATCTGCCCCAGGGCAATCCTTTCTACAAATAACAAAAATGAAAATAAGGGCTCATCACCTGAGTGTATAGCTCTGAATTGGTACTGTCATCCGCGTGGTGTTTCTCTATGCAGTGTTTTCTTTTTTGGGTGTTTAGTCTTGCTCACTGTTGTGATGCATTTGCCCAAGACAGTTCTGACAAAATGTGGGTTGGGTGTGTGTGCGTGGGGGGGGAGGATGTGTGTGTGTGTGTGTGTGAGAGAGAGAGAGAGAGAGAGAGAGAGAGAGAGAGAGCGCACAAATACACATACTTACACACATACACAGAAAAGGTGTAGATGGCATAAGGGCTTAGGAAGCTAAGGACAGAGAAGGGTAAAAAGGTGATGTCACTAGAGAGCCAACTCATCCAAGTATGACTCTGAATTCTGATTGACTAAAAAGAATTCTTTCCACTGTTTTATTAGAAATTTAGTCAAATGACCACAAAATTACATAAACAGCGCATTTTATCTTGGGAATCCCTGAGCGGCACTTTCACTAGGAAAGTATTTTCAAATTCCACTCACAATCATTAAAAAAATTGGGTCCTTACCAAAATTCACCTTGCACAGATGGCTTTTGTGTTTAATTAATAGGGAAGACCATGATAAGTTTAACTTATTTACATGGCAGCCTGTGGTTTTTGAACATTCATGATGCTGTGGCCCTTTTACACATGAAGTGGCCGGTTGATCTGCAAGTGTTCTGGCAGACAGCCACTCCACTTCTAAAATTAAAAAAGGGATGGGGAACAATCAGCTTTCAGGGGAACTGGGATCACGGCAATGTGTTTTGGATTAATTTACAAATATATGTATATTTTTAAGGCCAAACTGTGGAACTAGAGAATGTCTACTCCATGGTCTATCATATGCATTTTTCGACTTTATTAGAACAGACATCATATTGAAATAATAAACATGGGAAGCCTTCACTCTCCTTTGATGTATATTACTAAATGTCTGACTGGCTCAAGTTTAAAATAAACTTTGGTATGTTTGCACTTGAAAACTGGAAGTAGACCACAAGCAGTAATTTGTTGTCAGTTTCCATATTCTTGGACTAAAGCTATAGTTTAGTCTATTCGCTGTTGGGGGCCAACCCACTCTGGTCCGGTGGCCCCAAGGTGGCTCAACTTACTCATAAGAACACACAGTGTAACACAATAGCGATGATGATGATTCCCTTCGTCAAGAAAGAACCTGCATAGGTCAAAGCTTTTCATATCCCTACATAACTCTAAGGCCACTGTTGAACAGAAAACGTGATTCACAAAGATCCTCTTACTCTGAATAACGGACAACTGTTCAAAAAGTTGGTAAGACATGACTCAGTGCAGATAGAAAATAATTTTAGTTGCCTTTTTAAAGACTCATTTGAAAGTAGATATTATTTTTATTCAAGATACTGACTTTGGGTGGGTAAAGGGGATCAAATATATAGTGATGAATGGAAACTGGATTTCTGGTGGTGAGCATGCTAGAGTCTATACAGATATCAAAGTATAATGCTGTACAGCTGAAGCTTATACAATGTTATTAATGATGTTACTTCAGCTAAAATGGAAACACTGACCTTAGGCCTTCTTCTTTACCCCCAGCTCGCCCCTTTTAGGGTTAACTTGGTTTAGCAAGTGCCTGGAATTAGATCTATAATCTATAATAATAAAAGTGTAGTATGCTAATTAGACTGGATATCCTTCCAAATGACCTTCTGGACAAAGCTGGCTGTTGGAGGGAAGCCCGGGTCCCGGGTGCCAGAGGGAAGGCGGTGCCGGCCGCCGGGGGAAGGAAGGCCTACTCTTGCACAAATTTCATGCACTGGGCCTCTAGTATCCTTATAATACATCAGTGCAACAGTGTTTGGGTGAAACCACTTAATGGTGATTTTTGTTTGTGATTAACCCTTCTCCAATGATTTCCAAAGTGGAACCGATTTATCATAAATTTTATTCCATGTTGAAAAAATTTATGCTGACATATAAAAATATTTCAAGTGATACTTTTAATCATCTCATGAGTGAGAAGTACAAAATAAATTGTAAAAGATAGTATTTGGAAGGATAAAAAATTGGGAATACCCTAAATTCTTTCAACTGGATCACAGTTAAATAAAATGTGAGGTGTTCATGAAAAGGTATCCCCATATATTGTTGAGTGAAAAAAGCAAACTGTAGAACTCTAAGTATTACCAATTCATAGACTAGGTAAACAGATAAAGATACAAACAAATAAATAAAATTTAACATACACATATCTACAGTTGTAGTGCAAGGAAAAGATCTAGAAAAAATACACACTGAATAATGGCCCATGATGTGTAGAGCATAGGGGTGGAGGCTTTTACTTTTTGTTTATATCCTCATATTTTCTCTGCATGTGTATTGCTTTTAACATTTTTTTAAAAATCCAATATAAATTTTAAAAATATAGTTAATTTATTGTCATTGTAAATAATTTATATATTCCACAGTTTTTTTTTAAAAAAAATAGCAATTTAACATTTTTGTGCAATGAGATATTCTCTTTCACTGGATGTTTTTATTTTTATTTGTTATTTTTAAAAATATTTTTATATTTATTTCAGAGAGGAAGGGAGAGGGAGATAGAAACATCAATTGGGGATGGAGCCTGCAACCCGGGCATGTGCCTTGACCAGAAATTGAACCCTGACCTCCTGGTTCATAGGTCAACGCTCAACTTCTGAGCCATGCTGGCCGGGCTCACTGGATATTTTTAAAAGTAGGATGTCGCTAGGGTAAGTCTTGCCTCTTAAGTTACTGCCCTACCCTCTGAGTTGGACTTAGGTGCTGGTCTATAACATCTACTAGATAAACTCTTTGAAGAACAATGTGCGACCTGTCAAATTAATCCTGTGGTGATGTAATATAATCATTAAGACAAATGATTGAGTAGCTTGTTGGGAAGGAGCTTAGTTTGAGCAAATACTTGGAAGCTGAGTATTATGAGTACCTCTTCTTTTTCTTCACTCCCCTCCAAGATACCATATATTTTATACAGTTAATCCAGGTGACCTTGATTTTGAGGATGCCC